TAAAAGACATGTTTAAAAATCAATTCAGATTCTATCTGGGGAGATAAGTAACAATAGAAATGTGAAATTACAGAGAACTAGTTATTTTGTTAAAAGTAACTTACAGTGGCTACAAAATAATATAGACTTTCTACAAAGCGTAAGAGTATCAAGGAAAATCCTCTTCATATTTTTTTGTCTTTAAAAATTGGGTAATTAATGTTTGTATTTTGTAAGTCACATTTCTTTCCTCAAAAAGATAGTAAGTAATGCATGTAACAGAAGAGGTAACATTTTATTGGGGGAAAAAAACAAACAAACAAGATTTTGAGTGCAGTGAGGCACATGGCAAGAAATAATTTCAACAACAAATGATTTACAGTGCATATATTGTGATATTAGGCCCTAGTGGGTCATGCATGACTGTTTCTCATTTGTCCCGTGTTATGAGAAGGATATGAACGGTGTCTAACAACTTTGTGAAAGATTCTATAACTAGAAAGTCTTTATATTTGCAAAATGTGGAAAGTTTGATGGTTTTACACTGAAAGAACTATCCCAATAATATTAATGTATTCTTGAGGTCATACAGTGATGTTTAGTAGTTAATCTAGTATTTATCTTCATTATTTCCCTGCCCTGTGTTTTAGACAATTTTCTCAGTCTTTATCTGGATTAGGTCTAGTTACTTTATATGCAGAGTATATTTGTAAATATACAAAGAGAATTAATAAAATCTTGTAAAATCTCATTGAGTTTTGTTCTGAAGGCCATTCTGGTAGGTGTTGGTCAAGTTAATTATTTTGGTAACTGCTATTTTCAGTTATTTTGCATATTTTTTTTAATATGTGGACAAGCAGCAAAGGATATGCCATATTGTTCTTAGTCTCCTTGCTTTGATTCAATAATAATCTTTAATTACAAATTGTCTTGAATTGGCATCACTCTATTGTCATTCTGTTTGAGAGGCAAGAAGACAACAAGCCAGCTGTCATCAGAGGCAGCCATCTTTTTAAACAGGCATACTGCTTTATCCAGTGTTATAACTGATGCTGGGAATTAGTGATGAGCTTATACTTGTAAACAGCAGTGAACATAACAGAAGTTATCAAATACTTTATAACCATAGAAATGTCCTAAAATACTGTAAAAAAATTTTAAATATCTATTTATAGGTGATGGTACGTACACTCATTGTGAATCTCAAATTATTTTCTGTTTTCTTTCATAGGAGTCTTCTAAATAATGTCTTTATGTCTTTTCTGTTGATTTTTTTTTTGTTTGTTTTTGGTTTTGGTTGTTTGGTTTTTTTCCTAGATAAGGATACAAATAATTTTGAGACTGTAGGGCAGTTTGAATAACTGGCATTAAAAGTCTTGGGAAAGAGGAGCTGAGCACATACATATTGAGTTTTGGTCCTTTGCTTATGCAGCTGGCCAGTCATTCATATCACCAGCTAGCAGTGCTGTTCCCTTGAGTTTCTGATGCTTGTGGCACCAGCTTCTAATACTGCTGTTGTTTTCAAATGTCTGACAGGATTGCTTGGTTTTAGTATTTTCCTTCACACTGCAGCAGAGAATGAGAGTTCTGCAGTTTCAGAACCTTTAGTACTAGACTGGACCTTGCTGGCTGGAAGACTTTCTGCTCTGATTTTCCTTTGTACGGGTTTACAGTGAGGGTAATTACTGTGCAGTGAACTGCTGACTCCTTCCGTTCTGCAGGGTTGCTTTTCCAAGTTGATTGCTTTTGGTTACCAGAGCACACTCCCATGTTTCAAACAAAAGGAAATCAATTTTAAAAGTTGTGCTATGGGAAGAGCCTTTGTGTTACTTTAAACTCCCAAAGTGCATGAAGATATCTCTTCCTCTTTCCTCTTCTTTAGGGCAGATACTGCTATTGCAAATGTTTTGTTTGTTCTGTGCTTGTTGTTTGTTTTGGGGTTTTATTGTTTGGGATTTTTTTTTGGGGGGGGGGGGGGTTTATTTGTTTTCTGTGGTTTTTTTGTAGCATCATTTCAGTTTCTTTTAACAGAACAAATTGAGTCTTTCTGGAAGTTTTCAGGAGAGATTTCCAAACTACAGGGTGGAACTTTGGATTTAAGAGGAAGAACAGATATTTATGTTTCTTGCATAAAATTCTAGGGTAGTTGAAAATTGTAATGCAGAATTTCTGTGTGTTGTGCCTTGTGGTGCATAATTTCAATTTAACAAATTGTCATTAATATCTTTGTCTTCTTCAGTAGCTGAAGCCTTACCAGATTTACTGTTTCACTGCTTGATACGGTGTTAAAGTAGGAAGCAACTGCTTCTGCTATTCTAAAACTGGTAACTGAATCCATAAATATATATTGAATTCAATTAAATATGATAGGAAGCATTATTGAGTTGTGTGGACCTTCTGCAGTGAAAATTTTTGGTGTCTGGTTTGCTTCAGTATTTCAATTCTTTATTTAACCGTTTTACCAGTATTGTTCTATTCACAGAATTGTTAGGGTTGGAAGGGATTTCTGAAGATCATTTATTCCAACCCCAGACCATCTAGTCCAACCCCAAAATGCTTAAAAACTCGTTGGGTGAAGTATATTTGCAAAAGTTATGGTATGCAAAACTGGTAATGAAGAATCCTAAATACACCATGACTGAGAATTAAAAGAGACCATTTAAGACTAAAGGAACATTAGAAATAGTCTCTCTATAATATAAGTCTGTTAAAGGCAAATAAAATCCTCTTTAGCAGAACAGTGGGCATTTTGTTTACTCCTTGTTTATTAGCATAATAAAATAGCAGGGACAAGCAGGGTGACTGGGGACTAAGCAGGGAAGAAACATCACACCCCAGTTATTTAAATCCAGGGTTAAACCAAGATTCTTTTGGTCTGGGTAGATGTAAAAGAGAAATACCAACCAGATATCCTCAAGAGGTAAAAATTCACAGAAAAGTTTGCTAGCAAACTATAGAAGATGAGGAACTTTGTCAAATGATTTAGTAAAACATGAAACACCACAGCAGAGATACAGCCCACTGAACATAGAAAACCTTTAAATCCATTTGGCATTATCTTCTGTGAAAAGAAAGTTAGAAGAAGAAAGGGAGAAAGACAGGAAAGATGTAGAAAAACAAAAGCAGCTACCAGCTCCTGGGTTCCAGTGATGTAAAGCTCCAAGATGAAGGTGGGGTTAAAGAACAATATGCTTGTCTCATAGGGCCTTCTTAAAGACCCTTCCTCGCAGGTGGGACTTTTAGTATCTTGGCCACTCGGGCTGGGTTAGGCACCACTGGGGTGCTGCCTCCATTGTGCCATAACTGATGGACACTGTGAGGCTGGGGAATGTGGGGGGCAGGGCAACACCTCACCAGAGCAAGGTCCCTGCCAGACCCACACCCTGTGACACATTTGAAGCCCCCAAGATGTTTCAGACAGATTTTCAGTCTCTGACTGAACTTGAGCTCAACTATTTGAGCTGCTCTTTCCCAGTCCCTTAAAAGAAACAAGGTAATCTTATATTTTGCATGAGGCTAGTATTTTCTTTTGCAAGGGATACTTTCACACTTCCCTCTCTTATTTTAAAACAAACTAATGGAGATTGGTCTTAATGGGATTTTGTGAGGCATCTAAATGAAAAAGATGTATTTTCTACAGAAAATTAACAAATTTTTTTCTACAGAAATAAAGTATTTCATTGTTAGTTGTGTCATTGCTACTTGGCCCGTGATGTTCTAAGCCTCAAAGTGGCAGCAAGTGCCTAAGTTTTCAAACTCTTGGAAGTGTCTTTTAAGTTGGTCTTAGTTGTGAAATATTGAAAATGAGCTTTTGAATGTAGTTTATGGTCACACATAACGAATTTCAGAATTGTTTCTGCTTAACACTTAGATGCTAACTTTCCTTCCTTTGAGTCTTGTTGCCCTTAAACATGACATAGCTATGCTGAATTTTTTTGTAAAATATATTGACTACAGAGCCACTAGTTACAGTTTAGAGCAAAAGTGAGTCTGACAATGAAGAAAGCATGGATTTTGAAACAAATGTGACCTTTCTGTTTTGTGAAGTAGCTGTGTCACTGAAATGGTTCAGATGACTCTGAAAATAGAAATGAAAAGAATGCTTTCCAGTGTTCTGGCATCTACTGATGTATACTTGCTGTGATGGTCCATGTTAGCGATGGTAATAGCTTGCAGTGAGCACTTGTGTTTGTGAAGGAACCAAATAATTTATTTGGAATAGTTGTGAGGGAAGGGTAAGATAGTCTATTTCCAAGAGAAATAGGAAAAAAATGATGTTTATTCTTAAGATACTTATAAGAATCAAATACAATCTTCATTAAACACAGTATACTTTGTTTGAAATACATTAGGATCCTATTAGAATAAAAGAGTGTGTGTTTGATTAATTTTGAGTAAGATGCTAGGTGAATTTTCTTGGGGAGTGAGTGAGGATTGCTGATGACCTAATCAGACAGGTGTGGAACAGCTAGGTTACCATTCTTTGAATTTAAAGAAAGCTGTCTGCACATCTGGAAGATGGAAGTATTGCAGTGCACTCAGATCAGGTCCATGGTCATGTCCGAATGAGGTGGTATCTTTTAGGCATGTTTTTTGAAAGCTTTGCTTAATAAAAATATTGTCAGTAGACAAATTACACAGTAAAGATGGGGGAAGGTGCTATGGATCTGCTAATGGATGCACCAAGATGAGAGGGACTGCAAGAAATCAAATGCACCAAAAGGCTGAAAAAATGATCCAGAGAGGTGCTCCATTTTTGAGTATGATAGTATTAAAGTATATTTTTAGCTGTTAATAATTATCAGTATCTTTATGGTATCTTTTAATAAAAAACCCACCCAAGATAATTTTGAAAGACTGATGTTGGTGATGATTCTGTTATATGACACTCTGCAGAGGTAAGACCAGGGTGAATACGTAAGTACTGGTTATGACTTCTGGGTGGTACAAAATTGCAGTTCTGTGGTCCTTTCTCAGCACCTTGTGTTGCATTTTCTGAACAAGCTCTGCTTTATTTTTAGGAGCGAAGCTTTGTGTTTAAAATGGAAGTTGATGTAAATGGAGAGTCCAGAACTGCCCTCTCCACCCTCCCTGTGCCTCTTGCAGAGGTGAGTTCTGCAGCCAGGATGGAAGCAGAAAGGCCACGCTGTTCCAGCACCCCCTGCTCACCATTACGGCAGACAGTTGCAGGATATCAGATCCTTCACATGGATTCTAACTACCTGGTTGGCTTTGCAACTGGAGAGGAGCTGCTAAAACTAGCCCATAAGTGTACAGGAAGTGAGGAGAATAAAGGAGAATCTGGTCCTAACTTGGGCTCCAAACATATTGATTCAGGACTTCCACGTTCCTCGCGTTTGTACAAAACTAGAAGTAGGTACTACCAACCATATGAGATCCCAGCAGTAAATGGAAGGAGGAGACGACGAATGCCCAGCTCAGGGGATAAATACAGTAAAGCTTTACCCTATGAACCTTACAAGGCACTTCATGGTCCCCTGCCTCTCCGTCTTTTGAAAGGTAAAAGGTCTCATTCAAAATCACTGGACTACCTCAATTTAGACAAAATGAACATTAAGGAACCTCCTGACACAGAAGTGCTACAATACCAGCTCCAACACCTTACTCTTAGAGGGGATCGTATGTTTGCAAGGAATAGCACATGAGCTATCATCTCAAATTTAGAAATGGTTTCTGATCTTTTCTCTGTTGCTGCAAAAATCCACTGTTGTACTGTGTACATAACTTTCCACAATATAAGTGGTTTTATCAGGTCAGTGTTACCAGAAAGTAATTTATTTGAATACAGTCTTGACAGATGCAAATACTTGGAGAGAGAAATCTTTGCTGATAAAGCAACTTCTGATGCAGATTTGACTGCAACTAGTGGATATTTCTTTGGACGCATTTTAACAAAAAAAAAGCTTTTGATTTTTGGGATTTTTTTTTTCTGTACTGCTTCATCTAGTATTTACAGTAATTCAACACTGAAAAATTGGTGATGTCTGCCTGGTTGTTTCTAATTTTGGCTTGATGTTAGATACTGCTTTTGGATAAGTACTCAAGGAGTATTTTTGGGTTTTCTTTTTGTTTCTGTAGTAAAATGTATGGGTTTTACTTAAAACATGAACAGGAAAGTTAGCTTGACTGGATGAATCACTTGCTATTTAAACAGTCCAATTTATTTTGAGACTGCGCTTGTGTTGGTGATGTGGGTGAGATTCATTTGTAATAGAAAACTTTGCTACTTGAATCCTATTAAATTATTTTTTTAGTTTCTGCATGAAAGCAATTGCTTTATCCTTTTTATTCTGTAAAACATGTTCAGAATAATTATTTCAGTTATTTAAAGCAAATCTTTTAGGAAGTGCAGGTCGTTTTTTGTTTTTTTGTTTTGTTGGGGTTTTTTTTACATTGTCTTGAGACAAACTGGAATGTGTGTACTGGTATGTTGGTAATGTTTTTGATTTTGTGATTTTCATTTCATCTATAGTAACAGAAGGTGTCAACTTCAACATATCTTTGGAAATTTGACTTGAAGCACTGAACACGAGCCCTGGAGGGCAAATTGTTTCTTGACAAGAGTGCAAGTAAAATATTTCTTGTCAGCATTGAAGAGATGATCTTGAATTTTTCAGCAGAATAATGCACTGGCTTACTTTTGTTACTTAATGAATTTTTTTATCTAAACGTGACATTAAATGCAGTTTTCACAGCTGTATCCTAAGATTTTGGTAACTTTAGTTTAAAAATGAAAAATAGTTTTCATTCTTTTTTTTTAGGTGCAGTCTTTTGCTGAAGAAGTGCAAAACTTGATTTTGCCTGATGATCTCTGCAGAAGTTAAAAATAATTTCATATTGCTTTGAAACGTGAATTATTTGATCAATTGTTTCTGATAGAGTTAAGATTTTTATTTGTTTCTTTGTTCATTGCTCAGAATTACTAGAAAGCACTAGTTAGTGCATGTGCTCTGGAAAATGAAGAGTTCTTAGTCTATCACTCAACACTTTAAATTAAGGCAGTCCACTACTAAGCATTTTGTGGTTTGGTTATTTTTTTTTAGGTTTATTAGAAAATACCAAAAAAAAAAAAAGTGTCTTTTTCAAAGTTAACTACACTAATTTAAAGTGTAAATTTAATGTATTGAACAATGATCTTGAAAGTAAAGTCTTCCTCTATAGCCTTTAGTTTGAAAAACAGAATATGGTTGATGCCAAAGAGATAGGGGATTTGTTTAAGGAATAAACACCACTGTTTATTGAAATATCAACTTAAATTGTATTTCTGGCTGAAAAATAAAAAAGGTATTATAAACAACTGTTGTTTTGGATTCATTTGGTGTGTAGGAGAAAAACAGGACATTTAAAAAATTTAGACTGGGGAACATTTAAAAACAACTTGAAAGTTGGGGTTCTGGATTTATGTGAAATAGATGCTTATCTCTGTTCCTTTGTTTCAGGAAAAGTGCCATGCATTTACCTTGTGTGCATGTTTCTGATGTTGTCCAGTCCTGTAATTTTATGGCTACATTAAGAGACTGGTGGATGGCTAGCTAGCTGAGTTCAGGCATAAAAAATGTAATGTATGTAAAATGGTATTTTATCTTTGGTGATTTGTTTGTCAATGTGCTCAGACATGGTCATGGTGTTTGATTACCTCACCCTTCATAAAGTAGGAATTACTATTTACACTACCTGTAGCACAGACTAAGCAAGGAATTGTTAACAGATAACTTAGGTTTTTCTAAGTTTCAATGGTAGTGAAGAATCAGAAACAAATTTTCCAACATAATCAATTTTTAAAAGTTCTGTAGTGTGGTGTGGTTGAAGCCAGTTCCTAAGTTTCACCTTAAAGGCATTAGGTACTAAAAGGACACAACTGGAAGAGCTCATCCTTAGAGAGAATATAGGCAGCAAAAACAAGAAAAAATGCTTTGAACAAGATTAATTTTAGAATGGAGCTGCAGTACATAAGTGTAAATAAGTTTTTAAGCCGTTGTAGGAAAAATGTAGGATTAAAATTGAGAAATGATTTATTACAGTGCTAATGTCTTTAAAGACAATGTCAAGTTTGGCAGCTATTGTATCGGGCTGGAACTCTATCTGGCGGCTATCTGTCTCTATCAGTTTGGCCTGCTCCAGGAGGATCAGGATGACCTGAGGTGTGATTAGAGCACTTGCTCTACAGCTTTTTGGCTGTCAGTCTGTGCTCTGAGGAGACAATGACAGGGAGGTCTTTTGCATGGGATAATAGAGGATTTATTGCTCTGGAGAATCTTGGGGGCAAAAGAAAATGCAAGAGGGCAACAGCTGAAACAAGGAGGCAGTTCAAAGGGAGGGTACAAAGCACCAGCTAATCAGAGATATTCTGGGGAGGGTAAAAGACAGGGTTCACAAAATTATCATCCAGTGAGGGAGGTAGGGGGGGAAAGTTGGGTCACATGGACTAATCAAGCGTCAAAGTTTAGGGGATTTCCGAAGTGGAATTCCAGGCATGTGGCGGGCCTAGGATAGGATTGACAGGACACTCAGGGGAGACTGACAATGTGGGGGGGGAGGGTCTCATTTGGACCAAACCATCAACTTATGGCATATGTGGGCAATAACAGAACATACCATTAACAAGAAACACACTGCAACAGCAGCCAGCAGTAAAATGCATATATGTTTGCATGCTGTTGCAGCTGGCAAGTGCAGGTTTATTGATGATTCTGAGGATAAATTTTTGCATGAATAGTTTGCTGTAATCTCTTGGTTGGGACATCAGTTTCCATGATGAGTGGTTACACTGAACACTGTAATAGTGGCACAAACATGTGCCAGATAGACAGATCCTTGAAAGAGTACATTAATGTTTGAATTACGGAATTTTTCTTTCCTGTATCTCAGAGTACATTTTTTTAGCTAGAACATAATGCCAACTTTGAAAACTTTCTGACAGATTATATGGAGATTTTTTGTTTCCACAGTGTCCTGGTTTAGGGCAAATTTGGGAGAGAACCTCCGAATGGAGTCCCTCAAGAAAGCAAATTCAAGCAGCCCCTCCCCCAACTAGTCAGGGAAAATATTTCCTTAGAGAAAAGTGGAAAAAACCTGTTTATTTAACAGAAATTTAATAATACTAAATAATGAAATGTCTTGCTGTTCAAAGCGATGGTACATTCAGAAAAGTCCTTGGAGTGTAGCTCAGCTTGCTCAGTCTCTTATCAGTCCCTCCGGTGCTGGAGTGCTGAGGCCCAGGCCTCGATGGACCACAGACATGAGCTCCCGGTATTTGTCTGGGTTTTCAGTCCAGATAAGGTTTGAACAGATCCCAGGAAAAAGGAAAAAAACAGTCTGGGGAAGTTCCCTGCCTCAGCTAGCAAAAAAACTAGTAGCAAAGGAGAGCTCTGTCCCACTGTCTGTCCATGCTGCAGACAACACAGTCTGAAGCAGGATGTGGGGGACTGAGGGCTCTTTCTTGACATGCTTACGTGCTTCTTCTTCCCCCTCCCTTTGCTCTCAGAGCCAGTCTTAACGGTGTAGAACTTACTATGTAACATAAACAAGGTGACTGGGGATATAGGCAAAGTCACAAAGTCACCCCATGACACCCAGTGATTTTGCAAGGATAATATTTTTTTCCTCTTTATTCCATCACAAAAGCACTCAAGAAAGATCAAACTACCTTCAGGTCTACAGGATGTGGGAAGTTTCCTTCTTGAAAGGTGCAAGGGAACGTTACATTTCAATACCCACTCTTAACTTACTCTTAAGTAATTTGGTGGTAGAGAATGACATTGATGCAAACCTACAGAGGCCACATTAAAAGAACTGGGGAAAGAATACTATCGCTTTTGGGGGAAAAACCCAGAATCAGTTGTCTTGTGTTGAAAACAAAAGAGAAGGTAAGGACCTGACTACATTCCATCTATTTTTAGGAGACAAGTGCTCTCACCTTGCATGTGCCTTGTATCACCTATCAAGGAATTGGCCTGGAGTAAAAAAGAGGGGAGGCCTCTTTTTAAGAGGAGAGCCTTGCACGGTGCTTTAATTTCTGTGGCAAGTGGAAGGACAGAGAGAATTCACCATAATATGAATGGAAAGGCTGGAGAAATAATGGGAAACCTCAGAGGAGCAGTGCTACTAGAATAGCAGGAGTGTGGTTCCAGTGTCAAAAAAACCAAACACATGGAAGAAAGATGGTGTGCTGGCCTCAAACCTGTCCTGGAAGCAATTACTGTGTTTCTACCCTGTTAAGGTGGCTCATGGGATGGCTTAGCAAAACACTGTAATCAGTCTGGGCTGCAGTGAAGGTGGGAAGCAGGAGCTTGAGGCTATGAGCTTTCATGCTCAAAAGTTTAGATGAAATTCAGATGAGAGTGCTGAAGGAATAAAATTATAGTCTTTATTCCAATTGAGTATGGCCCGAATTAAAATTCTTCAGCGTTTTCTGATATTGAACAGCCTTGCACAGTGTGAATAGGTATATGGTACAATTTTGTGGTCTGAGAAGCTGTCAGAAAAAGCAAAACTTTCATCTGTTAAGTTCCTTTATTATTAATTTCAGTTTAAAAAAACCAAGAAACTTCCAAGCTTCATTATGTATTATGTATTATAGTGTAAATACCAGCTATGATATCTGGTAGGATTGCATTCCATTTTGGCATTTTGCTAGACTCTCGCTTGCTGAAGCTCCTTGTGAGCTGTTCTTTCTGTGATGAGACAGAAGTGTTAAAATATGCAAGAACATTGAGAACAGCAGTGACAGCCTGAACCCTATGAGAAAATTCATCAAGCCACAATTCACTGTTGTGCTTTACATTAGCTGATTTTTCAGAAAGTCAGAAAATGTTCAAAAAAAGCATGAGGTACTGGGATGCCTTTAGAAGTCTGTTTCAGGCCAGGAATGTTGCAGCATAGAGCTTCATGGTGCGAACTGTAGTCTGAAAATGGATAAAAGCAGAAGAGGAGAGAGAATGTCATTGTGCACTGGAATATTGACTGGTAGGACACCAACCTTTTAAACTAAGCGAACGAGAGCAGGAAAAAGAATATGTTAAATGCAAAATAATTTGTTTCTGCCTTATCTCAGTGATTTAAAGTTTTGAATGTGAATTGTGGTGAACATCTTCTAATTTTTATGAAGAAATATTAGAGGATATGAAGTTAGTTACAGCTAGTAACAAAGTTACAGCTCCAAGCAACTGACTGTATGCAAGATTTTTACCTATCCATCTATAATAATGTTTTCTATAGAATTTAGATTTTTATTTTTTATAAGCCTTTCAATATTTAGCTTATTTTTTTCAGAATTAGACTTGGTAAAGAGGTAGTTGAAAAAAACATTGAAGTAAGAAATACTGATGGGGGTCTCAGTAAAAAAGGTAGATAAACCTTAATGTAAATAGTGGTCATCCTATCGATTTATTAACTTTGAAGTAGAACTGCAAACCTAGAGTAAAAAAAAAGAATTCACCATTCCCAGGAGCAGAGGGATATAATTGTCAGGAAAATTAATCCACGAACACCAGAGGTTTATGTCCAAAAAGGAGACAGAGAAGTCCTTTTTCTTTATTCGAATAAAGGGAGAGGCCATGGGGCATTCCCCTGGGGTCTCTCAAATTTTTGGAGGGCGCAGCCTCCTTTTTATCCTAATTCCTGGCCGCTTGTCCCTTCTCTCTTTCCCCATGGGCTGAGGTACTTGAGAGGTACAGGCTTCCCGGAACTCCTGATACCTGGGGTACCTTCCCCCCCCACCCCCAATGCATAAACCCTTCTTTTTATGGAATTCATAGTGTTCTTTCAGTGCCTCTTTGATCTTCTACTGGAATCCATCCCATTGTTTCTGTCGTCTCTCACTGATAGCTACATCTTATCAACTGACCCACAGCTTGTTTGTAAAGACAAGCTCATCATTCCTCTCATAATGAACTGTAAAGACTGCTCCAATCCATACATACTGTGAGACGCAGCCATGTTTCAGAGATGATGAAGTGCTTCACAGATATTAGTTTTAACATTTCAGAGAGGCTTTTAGAAGGCTGGAGTACCCAGTTCTCCTAGAAACACAGTCATTTAGGTTGGAAAATACCTCCAATATAATTTAGTTCCAACCATTAGCCCACTGCCAAGTCCACACTAAACCATGCCCCTGAGTGCCATGTCTTTAAGTAGCTCCAGGGACGGTTATGCCACCGTAGCCCTGGTCAGCCTGTTCTAGTGCTTGACAACCCTCTACATGAAGAAATTTCCCCTAATATCCAAACTGAACCTCCCCTGGTGCAACTTGAGACTATTTCCTATTGT